CGGGGACACTCTTTGAGATAAACAACCGTATGAGATTGTCCTCCTTTCCTCTACAACCATATTTTGGACCACGGCCGAGAGTTGCGTCATTTTTGTGAGAGATTGACATTCGACCTAATGGTAACCGTAAAAATATACCAAAGATATCGGATATTATAAATACGGCTTGTATACATTTAATTTTTCCGCAACGTCTTTCTGACAGTACGCTCTTCCTATTGTTAGAAATTATTTAAAGCAACTCTGACAACGCTGTATCCTGAGGCCGCCTGCGGTCGTTCGTAAGGAATGGGTATTCACATACGTGCGCTCGTGTAAAATGGCTGCCTGTATTTTTGTTTATCATTTTCGTGCCTTACTGTTTAATAATTTTTTTAGTGTATTCAATTGAGAATATAATTATATCTTCGATTGAGTGTAATCTCTTTTTGCTAACATCAGAAGTGAGAAAAGTACCCATTGTTCACTGAGTAAGTAAAATGATCGCAAAATGTTATTTAGTGTTTATACTAGTAGTAGGTACTTGGTGTAATGAACTAATGCAGAAGTGCCAGCCGATTTAATACTTACTTTACTTTCAATATTTTTTTAAAGTTCCTAAATCCATGTAAAAGAGAATTTTAAAAGACGCTTTTGTTTATTTTTCTGCTAAAGTAATTAAGATAAGGAATTTAGTCATTTCTAGCAGGTGTTGCTTAACTCGCATATTTTTCATTTTCCATGCCGGGAATCGGCATTCGATTGTGAGATTTTTAGTAGTTTTTTGGTCTATTTGTAAATTATTCTTATTTTAATAAAGATTTAATTATTATTTAAGTTTATTTTATTAAAAGGGCTCTTTCACATGTTATAAAAAAAAAATAAAGCTTATTTCAATTTAGTTCAGTAATTATGATTTTTAGTACCTATTAGATTCAAAAGGGATATCAAATTACATCTTGAGTCGGTACTTCTTGTTGATTTGTTTTTATAATTCCCGTTCCTACACAGGCATTATTTATGTTTTTTTTTTATCCAACGTACGTGCTGTTTTAGTTTTTATTTTGCTAGGGGCTATTTTAAGAAAAAATATCATCGATCTCTGCCACTCAGCTGATGCGATGCTGCCACGTTTACAAATATAATTAATAATTGGTCTTTATATTATAAATTTTGTTTCTGATTTGTTTTAATTTGATGATTAACAGTATTAGGTACCTTTAATGTTAGGAGCTTGTAACTACTGAATGAAACGTTAATATTAGTACTTTATTATAAAGACATTTCATGTTTTTATTGTTATTATTACATAAGCGCCATACTTACCACTGCCAGGCCACCTCTTGTGACCATGCTCCGATTGGCAAATAATAATAACAGCATTTGTATTGATGTAGATTGGACACTACCATTTAATATGTTCCGAAAACTTGTATTTAATTATTACATTACTCTTGATTAATTATTACTTTACTGAATAAGTTGTAATATTAGTTGTAATTACCTACTGTTTATTATTATTATTATTATTATTATTATTATTATTATTATTATTATTATTATTTATGTATTATGATACTTTTATCCATGTAATAAGGCCGTTGGCCTGTTTGGGTACAAATAAATAAATTAAAATAAAAAAACACATGAGCTGGCTTTATATTGAACAAGGAGGAAATGCTGAGGTTAGACAACTTATAGATGACAGGAAAGAAGGACGTCTTGATAAGTCCCGCTATACCGTAAAAAAATTATATCTTACATTACATGGTCAAAACTGAAAATAAAATGAGTGCAAATCGTTTGTGCCTCGCCAGAGCCAACTAGGAGTGCTTAGAATATTCCATGATGAACAATGTCATACAGGAACCGATAAGACACTTGAATCCATCCAAAGGAACTTTTGGTTACCACGCATATGCCAATTTGTAAAAAAAAATATATTAAACATGGTCTTGTTTGTGCCATAAAGAAAACTTGTTCAGGACCGTTACAAAGATTTATAAACAATATGGAGAAACCAACCCAACCCATGAAGGTTCTACATGGCGTTTGTCTGGGGCCATTAGAAACAGCAAGTGATGGATATAAACATGTACTTGTACTAATCGATGCATTCACAAAGTATTGTGTCCTTAAAACCTTGAAAATTGTCAAAACCGATGAAACGAGGTTGGCATTTCAATCACTCATATTACTATTCGGAACTCCTGGGAAAATCATAATGGATGCCAGTAAAAACTTTAAGAATTTTTAAGTTTTCCCCATTACTTGGATTCTTTGGGTATAGAATATCATTACACAACTCTTGATATACATAAATCTAACGGACAGGTAGAAAGATATATAAGAACAATTATGAATTTAATTCGAGTAGAAACAAAAGTACCGGTCAGAATGGTCGAGCAATTTATGGGAAATTCAACTTGTATTGAACACAACACTACAGAAAACAAGTGGTATCACTCCACTAAACGTTTTAATTGAAATAGATGGAGCAACACCACTCATAGTCAGAGAAAACCTTGAGGCATCTGTTCAAACTCGTCTTAGAGCCAATCAAAAACGTCTCAACACTATTCACTACAAAGTGGGTGATTTTGTTCTTATGCACTGGGATGACTACATGCACCAGGGTAAATTAAAATACGAATTCCAAGGACCATATGAAATCATCAATATAACACCAGAGGGTCGCTTTGAAATCGGAAGAGTAGGAAAGTCCTTAATTACTAAAGCTGCTAAGGAGCAGTTAATGATGTGGCCGAGTGACTGGTCATTTTCAATGAATATGACAGAATATGAGAGACTTAATGGAAAGTGAAATAAGGTAAGGCATATGATAAGTGGCTCGTGTTAGAATAAATGTAATCTTTTAATGTTAAATAACTTTTATGCTGAATGTTTGAAAGCTGGTTACGCTTTGCATTATGATTAGTTAATGTTTATAAAAGCTTGTTACGCTTTGCATTATGATTAGTTAATGTTTCTAAAAGCTTGTTACGCTTTGCATTATGATTAGTTAATGTTTGAAAGCTGGTTACGCTTTGCACTATGATTAGTTAATGTTTCTAAAAGCTTGTTACGCTTTGCATTATGATTAGTTAATGTTTCTAAAAGCTTGTTACGCTTTGCATTATGATTAGTTAATGTTTTAAAGCTGGTTACGCTTTGCATTATGATTAGTTAATGTTTATAAAAGCTTGTTACGCTTTGCATTATGATTAGTTAATGTTTGAAAGCTTGTTACGCTTTGCATTATGATTAGTTAATGTTTATAATAGGTTGTTACGCTTTGCGTTATGATTAGTTAATGTTTATTAAAGTTTGTTACGCTTTGTATTATGATTAGTTAATGTTTATAAAAGCTTGTTACGCTTTGCATTATGATTAGTTAATGTTTGAAAGCTTGTTACGCTTTGCATTATGATTAGTTAATGTTTATAATAGGTTGTTACGCTTTGCGTTATGATTAGTTAATGTTTATTAAAGCTTGTTACGCTTTGTATTATGATTAGTTAATGTTTATAAAAGCTTGTTACGCTTTGCATTATGATTAGTTAATGTTTGAAAACTTGTTACGCTTTGCATTATGATTAGTTAATGTTTATAAAAGCTTGTTACGCTTTGCATTAGGATTAGTTAATGTTTCTAAAAGCTTGTTACGCTTTGCATTATGATTAGTTATTGTTTAAAAGCTTGTTACGCTTTGCATTTTAAATGGTTGAATGTTAAAATGTTGAATATTTGTATATTTAGCTAAACATTGAGAAATTATATCACCTAGTATGCTTTGTTAATGCAGCAATGATATTTTTAAGATTTGCTTGAATCTGATTCTGCATTAAGAGCTCGATTCTAATAACGCACTGCGCTATTAGAAATTAGTTGTGACCCAGATTAAAAATAAATGAGTCGATTTGTATGCAAATATTGTTTGTTCATTTTTTTTAATTCTGTAAATAAATATAAGATTATGATAATCTTACTTTTAGCAATGAATGGGAGCAAGAAGAACTACAAAATCTAGAGGAATATGAAGACCGAGATGAAGACATTTAGTAAAACATCGAGAGCGATGTTTTGGTTAGGATTGGCCGTGTTAGAAATTATTTAAAGCAACTCTGACAACGCTGTATCCTGAGGCCGCCTGCGGTCGTTCGTAAGGAATGGGTATTCACATACGTGCGCTCGTGTAAAATGGCTGCCTGTATTTTTGTTTATCATTTTCGTGCCTTACTGTTTAATAATTTTTTTAGTGTATTCAATTGAGAATATAATTATATCTTCGATTGAGTGTAATCTCTTTTTGCTAACACTATGTTATCAGATCTCTTCCATCAAATATCCTGCATTACATTTTTATTAAAAAATGTATTAGTTGCTTTAATATAATCTATACAAAAAAGAAAAATAAAGAATTTAAGGCAGCAATATTAATTACAATCACTTAAGATTTTTATTTATCGTCTTTTACACCGTAATCGTATGTGGACATTAAACATTCTTGTTCTTTAAGTTTAGCAACCTAAGACATTTTGTTGACGGCGTCAAGTGACAGCTTAATTTTTATAGTGCTTTTTTGTAGTTATTTGAGATTTTCGAGCATAATTTAAACATTGAACTGTTAAATAGGGACATTTAGGATGGTGAGGAAATGTATAGTAGACAATAATTATCACTAGTTTACAAAATTTAACTTTTTGTCTGTTGTCGCGAATTGTGTGGTTGAAAATGTTCACTTATCACTTGTTTTTGTCAAATCTAACCTTAAAATTTTTTGAGCAGCTCGAGTTACTTTTTTTTGATATTTATCAATTAAGCGTATATATTAATCGATAACAGGCGTATTTTACTGTGTTAAGATTAGTATCTGAAGTTTTTGCATCATGAGTAGTTCAAGGAGACGTTGTTTGAATAATCCAGATCATTTTTGCTATAAATAGGGAGAATATGTGTTTAACGATTGTAGAAAAGTTATATCAAAGTTGGTGAAAAATACCTATTTTGAGTATTTTGGGATGCTTTTGGATAAAAATGAGAAGTCTTGGGCTCCCAATTGTGTTTGTAAATCGTGTGAGGAATATTTAAGATCATGGAAAAGTGGTAAAAGAAATGCCTTCAAATTTGAAACACCGACTATTTGGCGAGAACCACAAAATCATCTTGAAGACAGTTATTTTTGTACCGTGAACGTAAACGGTTCAAACACTAAAAGTCGAGTTAAATGGCAGTACCCAAGTACTAGTTGTGTTCAACGTCCAGTGCAGCGTTCACCTGACTCTTCAGTGCCTAAAAATATATCTGAACCCTTAGAACAAGACATTGAAGAACCAAGCTCCTAACAAAATGATGCTGATTTTGAAGATATGTCAAATGAGCCAAAATGCTTTTCTCAAAATGAGTTAGATGATCTTGTAAGAGATTTAAATGGTTACACTAAGTTTCCCTGTTTTATATGTCTTTAGGACAGTAGAGCTAAACAAGAGCATTGGGTAAGAAAATATGGGCTTTGAGAGAAAATATGAAGCCTGGAAAGCAAAATATAGTCCAGAATTCATTAGTACCTAGTGAAAAAATTATTCTTCTATCATTACATATAAAACTGGGCATCATGAAACAGATTGTTAAACCACTAGATAAAGACGAAAACTGCTTTTGTTACATTTGCCAAAAATTTCCTCAGCTCACTATAGAAAAAATTAAAGTCGGTATTTTTGATGGCCCCCCAAATTAGACAACTTACGAAAAATACTCAATTGATAAACTCAAGTTAGACTTGGGCAGCTTTCGTCTCTGTAATGCAGCATTTTCTCGGAAATAAAAAATCTGCAAATTATATTGAACTTGTAGAAGACCTTCTGCTACAATTAAAAAAATATGGGGTGCAATATGAGCATAAAACTCCACTTCCTTCATAGTCACCTGGACAGGTTTCCGGAAAATTTAAGAGATATGAGCGAAGAGCAGGGAAAGCGTATACATCAAGACTTACGCGTCATGGAAGAGCGCTATCAGGGTTTCTGGGACACGAATAAGATGTATGACTATTGTTGGTCTCTGATACGTCATTTTCCAAAGTTTACACATAAGAGAAGAGCTTTAAAATGAAGTTTTTTAGAACTCAATGATTAATTATTTTTTTAGTAAGTTTTTCTTAGTAAATACATGTTTTTTTTGTTTTATACCTACATAGCTGAAGCTCAGAAACTATAGCTGATAAAAATCTTCTAATTATATTTTTGAAAATAGCATATCATATGTAGTCAGCAACAGCTGAAATTTCTTCGGTAACAGATGTAGTGTAAACTAGTGTTATAATAAGAATGTTATGTGGTCATTTCTTAGGTAAGGTTTTGTTAGCATGCATAGACGAAGGAATATATAGAAAAAAAAGCTTTATTTATTTAATATTGTCAAGGCATGTATAAAATTGTCACTGATACTTGTCCTAAAAGAGTTGTCATTTTCGTTTTAAAATTTGTCAGTACAACCCAGGTTTCAGAAGGCTCACTTGTTGAAATATATAGACGCAATACCCTGTTAGCTATTGTTAACCATCGCGCATGACTTAGTTTTCCTGGATTTTTTTGCTCAGCTCCTCAGGACAAGTGCCGTTTTTTATAGCACAGCTTAAGTACTGTGGATCGGTACTTAGATCATGTTTATCAACTTCTGATAAATCAGTTTCAATTGCTTGAAATTGCTTTACAGGTCTTTCTTCGCATGTTGTCAAAAGACATCTAATGGGCCCTGAAAATAAATGTGGTCCCTTAGTTTTTTCGTCCAATTAGATAGGAGATGTCGAAGAGGTAACTTGTTGGCGCGAAGTAAACATATTAGCCACTAAACGGGTTTTCTAATGTGAACTTTCATTAAGAGAATCACACCATCTTTATAAAACCCGTGTTTAAATTGGTTCCATCACAACCAATTACCTTAATAGAATTTGGGTCTACTGATTTCGCTTCTAAGCAAGATAATATATGTTTTACTATATTAGCAGCTGTTCCAGGTCCTTAATAGTTAATTGATCAAAATATATGCTTTCCGGCTCCTCTGTAAGGACTATATGCTCTTTTTGTCTAATAAAACGCCTTCCTTCGCTGAGTACCATAGTCTGATCTTTTCTTCCGTAAAAATAAAGTCCTTCTATTTCACTGTTTGCGTCAAAAGTTGTTTTTTGTCAATTACATTAATTGGATTGTCTGCAGAGACTAAACCACCTACATTCCTCCTCATAAACGTAAAACTAAAACACGGTACACACACTTGCCCACCACATAAATACGGCGCAGTCATTGTACGGGCACGTACGGGTCAACGCAAGCAGCTACGACGCAATAGGTCAGGACCGGACTAACTGTGGAATTATGAATGAAGCGTACTAAATGTTTTTAGGCTGGGGCGCGGCTAAATATTAAAATAAATGAATGAGATTTTAATGGGGATTTAGACCCATTATTTAAAAAGTTTATACGGCTATACCAGATCCAGAATATAATTTTTACAAAAATAAAATTTCAATGTCACCGGGGCGCGGCCAAATTTCATGTCATATTTTTTAGAAAAATACTGGACATTTTTAAAAGTATTTTACAACTTTTTGTTGCTATGCCAATTCTATCGTCAAATAAACATTTTTTGGACCGTTTTCGGCCCGCCCTATAGCATAAACACAGCTTTTAATGGATATAGCTATTTATAATTTCACATTTAATTTTAATTTTATTTTTAGCCGTTTTGGGGGCTGGTAGAGAGCTGGCTGATAATATAATTTTAAAATTGTGAAAAAAGTACAAGCAGTTTTTATAATAAAACGCATCTTTTAAGTGCTATAGCAAATTAAAATTTTTATTTTTATTTTTTCTATTCATCCTAACGGAGGCATAACCAACTGACCTACTAAATACCAAATCAGCTGATTAAAAACAGCACGGGAAAATTAATTTTAAATGCATTTGATAGATCATTCATAATCTAAGGTCAATATCAACAAAAATTAAAGTAGATTTGGAATAAATCCAAGCATCTATTTATAATAAAATCTAGTCTAAACTAAATAATGTCTGTGCAGGTTAGTAGCACGTGTGGTTCCAAATTTTATGTAAATTTATTAAAATGGCTTTTGTAAAAAAATCTTTTTACGAACAAAAGTTTACATTAATTAACTATCTTTTATCCCTTAATTTAAGCTAATAAAATTTACGGAAATAGTGTAAATTCCTTTAATTAATTATATATTATTATTGTTGTATTATTTCAACGTATACTTTTTTGAAATCAAGAAAAAAAAGATCTAAAATCACATGGAAAAAACTTCTTAGTATTGCTGTCATAGATTACTAATGTGAATAGATGGGAAACTCAATGGTAATATTCTGAGTCGATGTGCTGCCATCTATCAAATTGGAGTGGTACTAAAATTCAATATGGCCGCTTAGCGCGGGCTTTTTGAAATTTAACTTTCTGCTAGTCGCGCAAAAATATAATGAAGAAAATCAAACAAAAAAAATATTTTGCCAATTTATTTTTTTTGTTTGATTTTCTTTATTATGTTTTTGCATTAATTTCAAACTTGAAATAAAATGCAATTTATTTTATTTATTTTTTTAATTACAGTAAATTAACGTCGTATCATATAATTTGTCTAATTAAACATGAAAATAGGTACTCAAACAAATATGCATTTATACCATTTAAATAATTAAAGATTTATAAAACAAACCTATCAAAAATGTTTTCTGTAACAAACTCTACATATTTAAGTGCTCAAGACCAATATAAAAGTTTTGCAACTTGGAGTGGCAATAAGTTTGAAAAAACTGAAGTTGAAGCATCATCCTTTTGGTGTCTTACAATCAAGGCGAATTTGAGGGTGGATAAAATTTGCCATATGCTTATTGAGTCGACTAGTTAAGTTGAGGAACATTTCTTCATCCGATATTGTTTTATTGATTTATTTGTACAGCACCTGTAGTTATCAAATTCTTATTCATCATCTGAGCACTGTGATAAATGAATTTAACTTTTGAGCTTAAATTAAACTTACACACGTTTGGACCTTTGAAGATTTTGGGGTTTTCTTGTTTGATGTCAATGGCATTGAATCAAATTTTGATATTGATGGCTAAGGCTCAAATATTTCATCGATCTACAGGGTATTTTGAAGGGCCAACATTTTCTTTATAACAATGATCATTAAAAAACTGAAAACAAAAAGAAATTTAAATAACAAACCAATTATTTTAACACTGAATCAAAAACAAGTTTGTAAATATTACTTTCCATTGATATGCCAGTACAAGACATGTACCAGATGCTTAGAAAGAAGTCAATGTAATAATGATTGCCAAAAATAGCATTACACAGGCCAAGAAAATAAAAAAAAATATTGGTGCCGGAAATCCAAGAACTAATTTTAGATAAATTTAATGTGCTTATTCTAAAACTGCGGCAGATTTTTTTTTATCAGCTCTAGATTTTGAGATACAGGATAGTTGAATTTATAAGTAGACTGGAAGGGGTGTACACACTACTATTGAAATATAAGTGGAATAAGTACATAAATGTGTAATAAATGTGTAATAAATGTGTAATAAATGTGTAATAAATGTGTAATAAATGTGTAATAAATGTGTAATAAATGTGTAATAAATGTGTAATAAATGTGTAATAAATGTGTAATAAATGTGTAATAAATGTGTAATAAATGTGTAATAAATGTGTAATAAATGTGTAATAAATGTGTAATAAATGAAATTTTTTTATTAATCATTAGGATCAGCGCTGTCGACTTAACAAAGTCATCATCAAAGCCATCTTAAAAGGCGTTACCATTTAATTTGTTTAAATATTAACACATGAAAAAACATACGTCAAAGATACCTTTCACATAATCAGACTCTACATCAAGTTGTTAACAACAAATAATTATAATTTAAAAAACATTTAGGGACGATAAGGGCACCAAACCCCAATTAATAGACAGTTATTGCAAGTTCACTTAAGGTCACTATTCGCGCCGCTCTTATTTTGACATCTAAGCATGCGCAGATAACTTACATTCTAGAACTGACTTTAATAAAGATTGTGCTTGTCCTTAATTGTGGATGTTTAAGGACATCATATAGTGGTGACTTTATAGTTTTCGGGTGCGCTCGCCGACGTATTCGTATCAGTTCCAATTGTATTAATAATAAATATTTAATATCATCGTCATCTAAACCTTCTAAAATGGTAATTTCCAATGCCTTTTTCATGGACGGGCATATGCAAAAAGGAACCAAGCGACAACAAGATAGTTTTGATAAAATGAGATTTAAAGTTTTTGTAACAATAAAATCAGTACAAAAATAAAAAGTTCTTATTGCACTTTCTTGCACTTTATTTGTTTTCAACAAATTAGGTTTTTTTTTACTTTTGTATTAAAAAAATAACCAATACCTTCTCATGCATATGAACTCATTTTCGGAATTTTGTCGCTTGGTTTCTTTTTGCATATCTACGTCCAATATTATGTACTATTTATTATAAACAACAAAATAGATGAGCTGTAATTTAACATTTTTAAAAAGGGTATAGAAATATGTACAAGGACAAGGACTCTAATGTTAAAATTTCAGGTTTGCAATAAGTCTTATTTTAGCATGGATTTTATTTGCCTCTAACTACGTTGTCACTATTAGTGGCTGACGTTATAGAAATTTGCAATATCTCTCTATTCTTATTAAAGATATAACAATGCTGAATTATTATACATTGGCAAAATTATATATTGTGTTTAGCGGTACAACAGGTGACAAGCGTACCTAATTTTGACATTTGACAGCAGACATATGACATAGACAAACTAACACAGGACAATATGACAAGTAGAAAGAGCATTCAAGTGGTTCTGGGGTCAACCCGGATTAGACCAGACTTATCACCAAAGCAACTAAAAAATATTTAATAAGAAAAAGAGGGAGGGATATACTAGGCTTCTAAGGATATGAATCATAAGGAGGTTCTAAGAAACCTAAGTATATTTGGTCTGGGGAAACTATTGAACGTTGGGATTTTAAGAATGGAATGAAGAGTAATGACTTTAGATCCATACTAGGTCAGAAAACTTGCAGTAAATAGACGTGAGTAGACCATGGCCCATACATGACACCTAGTCGAAGAAAAAAGGGTAAATTAGAAAGGAAAGAGGAAAGAAAGAGTTAAAGAAAAGTGACAAAGATATAGTAAAGACAAATTACTACCTATATCCGTACTAGGTAGCAACAAAGTAAAAAAAGGCACATATTTCGCCTTTTACGACACAGCTGTGTTTAATTTTAATCTAAGGCAAAAATAAATGAATAAATAGATATCTCTTTAAAGTTCAAAATATAAATTTTTTACTCAAAATAAAAATATAAATTTCTTACTCAAAATAAAAATATAATTAGCCAAATATATACCTAAAATTTTTCGTAAAGCAACCTTCCTATACCTGGTTAACAGGCATTACTAAATCGTATGCACCTGCTTAATCCCCACTAATTAATCTTATAAACATAGTACTTTCTGTCTACCTTTACCATTCTCGATTTAGTACATTACTCAGTTTTTGCAAATAAAATTGTGCTATCATTATGTGAAAATTTTTGTCTTTTTATAGTGTTAAAACTAAAACAATGACATCCACAAGTAGACATAGCTGTGTAAACCATCCACTTGTTTTTTGTTATATACACGGTGGGCCAACGAAAACTTTACACCCC